CTTTTCCTGGTGAAAGAAAAAGAACTGCCCAGCCACTGCAGGATGTACATTTTTTACATGTAGCAGAATGGTGTCAGGTGAAATCCTTCTGCCTAAAGACTTGGCTCACCTCAGCCATCCCATGTCTTCGGGGGTGGACCAACTTGTTCACCTGGCGCTAGCCCTGCATATGTGATTGGTCTCTAGTTCAGCCGCTCCCTACAGACCCTGATGTTGGCAATCTTGTGGAAGGTGTATATGTCTTATTTGCATGCTGTTTTATGAGAGATTAAAACTAGATCGTAGAAGCAATAAGGCAATGTGTGGCATTACTCATCTTCATTGATTTTTAGTTGAGTTGCTCAACCCATCAATAAAAACAATCCTTACCAAAAGGTTCACATTAACCATAATTACTCTCTATAAGAAACAACTAAAAACTTTTTTGACATCTATGAAATGAGTGTTTTCTAAATACTAGAGAGTATAAAGTTTGTTCCTCTGGAGAAACAGACTAGAAAGATAAGATAATTATAACAACTTCTAGAGCAAATTAGACGGGGCTGGTATGTGGTGCTCTGGAATTGCAGAAAGAAACACAGGTCATCCTGCACTGCTGTTTATGGAGCATTGGGAGTCTTAACTCATTTATGCTTGTTGACCTTTCTGCTTTCAGGTTTTGTTGCTACTTAAACAAAACTAAACAGTAGTGGTGAAGTTAATCCCTTAGTTATGTCTGATCGAGTGAAGAAATAAATAATTGACAAAGTTGCATATTATGTTTATTTCTTCCTTGTTTTTCCCCAAGAAAGAGTTAAGACAGCCTCTCAATTACCAGATACTCAGAATCTTTCATGGAATTACAAATATTTACAAGTTTTGTGGGATTTTAAAATCTGATTTTGTGTAGAATAGACTTTGTATTTATTGTGCTGAATGTTTCCTTATGGGATGTGACACCCTAGCTTTGAGCTGTCATCCTGCTGGTCAGACACACATACTTGCTTGCCTATGGTTCCTTAGTGGATCAACTGTTAGTTCAAGGACTGCAGCCTCTACAGGGTACACATCATCTTTAGGATAAAGGGCCAAGGACAGGAAGAGAAAGGCATGTTTACTCTTCAGGTTGTAGGGCTTCATCAACACAGTGCCTGAGCTTTCCATGGTATGATTTTGCTAAGTTCAAGAATGCTAGGAGGTTAGTATCATGGTTCCTATTTATATGGAAGAAGCTGAAGTAGAGGGTCTTAGAGGTAGAGTTAAGTTCAAATGCAAATCTGTCTGAATCAGAAACCCAGGGTTTAAAGATGACTTTCTTCAAACAAGAAGAGATTAGGGAAGAAAACACCAGATCAAAAAATCTTAACTCCATGGAGTATGGTTTAGATATTTTTCCTTCTTTTATATCTCTCTTGGAAAACAATGCATTAAAAAATTCTTTCAGTCTATTTTGTGTTAGGAATCAAACAGAAATGTAGAGGTGATGAGGACAACCAGAGACTGTCTGCTAGAATGCAGTCTCCCTCAAAGCTCACATGGAAATTTATTCACCACTCAACAGTATGGAGAGACTGGGCTCTGAAGAAGTGCTTAGGCCTTAGAGGCCCCACCCTCTTGAATGAACTGATGCCTTATCTTGGAAGTGGGTTGGTTGTAGAGTCTGTGGGTTCCTGATGAAAGGATGAGGCAGGCCGAACCGCTCTCTATGTGGCTTTCACCCTTTGGCTGTGTCACCCTGCACCAGGACGTCCCCATCACAGCCAGCACCATGCTCTTGGACTTGGCTACCTCTAGAACAGTGAGACACAAATGTCTTCATAAAGCATTCAGTATCCAGTCCTCTGTTACCATGACATCTCACAGACAGGCTTTCTTCTCTCCTCTCAACATCACATGCTGCACCCCTAATGTCACTGAGAATTCCAGCCTAGGTCAGGGGGGAGCTTCAGCTTGCAGTTCTCTCTGGTCCATGTCTCTCACCTCTCCTGGCTCACAGAGCATCCAGGAAAGCACTCAAAGAGGGTGATTCCAACATAGTGGGTCAAGATTTAACTCTGCCACCAAGAGAAGAATTCAACTTCAAATCATGACCAATTGTGTATCACAAAGTCAATTGTGACACAAAGTCAATAGTGGAATACAATGCAATAAATTTTTTTAAAGGTTATATCATAATACCTCACATGCTGTTAAGTTATTATTTTGCATCACTTTTGTATCTTATTCACTTAAGGAACTGTGTAAAACTAAATACTTGATATGGATGCAGGAAAAAAAAATGAAGTTTCCGGGGTCAAAATAGTCTCTTTAATGATTTCATTACCTTGATCAGTGTTGGGACCATGTAATAATTCCTAGTTCATAGACTGTATCTGGGTTAAATTTGCAGGCAGGAAAACAAAAAGTTGAAGCACATTCCATCCTGATTTCATCATTCCCTGAAAGTTTGCACAACAGAGGGAGATGGTAAATTGTTGTATAACATGGGCTTTTCCGGGCAGGAGTGCCTTGGCTCTCATGAGCTCGCTGATAAAGGCGCCGCTGAACACTGCCCACCTGAGGGGTCAGAAGCCGGCATGTCACCAGGACTAATTAGCCTGGAAGACTTGATTTTGGTCCTCAGACAAGCCAACCTCCTAATTGTTATATCTGACTAAGGACCCTGCTGTTGCAGGTACAGAAGGAAATGAAGAAAAATTAAAATCGCCAAAGCTTGTCATCGCACCTCTCTTCCTAGTGTGTTAATTCTTCAAACACCAGTTGAAATACTTGAACTTCATTTCGACATTCTTTGTTATTTTTGCCCAAATACTTTTGCTAAATGACTTACTCAGTCCACTAGTCAGTGTGTGTTAGCACAAAACTACAATAATACTAATATGATGGTGATGAATATTAATAATCACTAACATGTGATAAAAGCACACACTTACACATTTTTCTATATAAAGCTCAGCTAAGCTTGTACTTGCATGAGTATAACATCCCTTACAATGTCCTATGAAATAGATATTTAGTGAATACCTGTTTCATAGATTGCAAAAGCAATGTATATACCCTCCTACGAAGTTCACATCGTGTGCTGTAGGAAAAAGAAAACCTTTGAATATTTGGACTGGCTCGCGATATTGATATATCTGTATTTTAACAAAATAAATCTTTTTTTAAAAAAATTATAGATTTGGTTCAGGGTCTAGCTATGCAGCTCAGACTTGTGGCAATCCTCCTATTTCAGCCTCCCCAGCTCTGGGATTACAAGCATGCGCAGCCTTGCCCAGTTTTGGCGGCCAGCACAGCATGTGGTACTGGTGATCGAAGTTGCCAGGCAGGCACTTAGACTGCTGAGCTATCTCCCCAACTGCAGCAAAATAAATCTTGTAATGTTGAAGGTAAAATGTATGAAGAAAAGCTCAATAGGGAGCAAAACTCTGAGCAATGATGGCCTACTCTCTATAGCATGCCTTGGCCCTGCCCTTGGCACATAGTCCATGTGTAGAGAATAACACATTCTCTTCTGGTAGCACAGTGGCCGGCCATTCATGATTCCAGGTGCTCTACTCTCTCCTTGCAGTTCTGCTCTTCCCTTTTCTACCAGCAAATCCCCCCTCTGCCTCCAAGACCAAGCCTACCTGCAGGGAGTGGCCTGCAGCTATCACTCATGCAGCCATCGCTCACCGTTTCCTGTGGGATCAGGGCTGGGAGCCAGCCAGCTTGCTCTGTTTCATAGTGCTGCATGGCCTGGAGCAGGTCTACTGGGTCCTGGCTGTCCAGACCTTTGATGCCTGGGCACACTGAGTGAGGAGAATTGTCTCGGGTAGCACAGAACATATTCCATGCAATGAATGTATATAAGTAACAACATTTTCTTTCTTAAACATTCTCCTTTACTAAATCATTTTACAAAATAACATGAACCTAGGTTCAATAATTGAGCCAAAAATGGCATGTGTGCTTGCAGACACATACCTGTGGGGGAGTCCAAAGACTGCTGTGGCAGTGGTTGTGAGCAAAGGCACATGTGATGGAAGTGCCTGGACTTCAGTCAGCCTGTGTGGGCCGCAGGGGGGCCATCCTTACCTGGCTGCTTCAGCATCATCTACATCTCTGCACTCATGGAATTGCATTATGGAAACTATCTACTAAAGCATATAATAATGTTAAAAGTTTACGATCCTGTGCAGCCTCATTACAAGCTGTCCAGAGCCTTCTGTAGCGCATGGCCCTGGCTAGAACACACAGGGCTTAAGGCTTCTGAAATTGCTTTCTTAAGCATAAAATTGAAATATGGCTTTCTACTTCGAAATGGGTTATAGAGAACCTGTTTGAACACCTATGATCTGAGGTGGGAAAGTCACACTTAAGGTAAAATGCAAGCTTTTTCTTTCCAGTGTAATTTCTTAGCAAGTTCATAAAATATCATTTAACTATAGTAATTGTTGATGACACATTACATGATGGCATCCCTGGGAAGAAAACAGTAGTTGTCTTGCCATGACTGATTCTCCAAAGTCTCCGCACCGTCCCGTACACCTCAAGGCTGCTGCATCTTTTGGTGGTTCAGCAACCCAATCCATTTCCCAATTTTAAGAGTTAACTTGGTTGGGTGTTTGGCAAATCTCTCTCATTATTGGCTAATGACTTTAGTTTCTTGAAATACTGCAAGATTTGATATTTGAGAACAGGAAATCCATTTCTCAACTTGTACGTATCATGTTAAGAGGCATCAGATGCCTCATGCGTTACACTGACAACCACTGTCATTTCCTGGTGGGTCTCCGTCACAGCTAGGGAGGCAGCAGGAGGCACACCAGCTGCTGTCCACATGTGCATTGAGGGTAGATTCACTTCAAATGCATGGGAACCCAAGCCACTGAGCTGGGTCTGGGGAGTCTGTATCCTGGGCGCAAGGCCGTGGGGTCTGGTGCTGGTGCTGGGGTCTCGGAGTGCTGAGCCTCCAGCTGCCCCCCCCTCCCCTGCATTGCTGCACTGACTCAGGGGACCACTTCAGGGACTACAGCTACTTGTCAGGCTGATGACTCAGCAAACTGAAATCTTGGCCAGATGAGGTTGTGTTGTATAATCCAGGCTGCTCATTCACAGCTCACAGGATCTTGAGTAAGTTGTGGCAGTCTTCAGTCCCTGAGAGGAACAGAGCTGAAGCAGGGGCAAAAAAGCCTGGCCTGGGCTGTGAGGGGTAGAAGGAGCCAGGGATAAAGTTTACCCTGCTCCCTCCCTTGTGCTCTGATCAGGCCCACGACAAACAGAAGCAAATGCAATGTGGAAAATAACGCATGACAGCAATGTCTTTGTGCCAAATGTTTTCTGGCTTGTTAGTGGCCTGGCTGATATCTGATAATAGTTTATTTTGGACTTTAGCTTCCATTTTCCCTTATAAGATGAAGCCAAGGGCCACATTCACTCCACAGAAAGGTGGAGGTACAAGCAGTGGTCAGTGAGGCCTCAGGGTGGAGTGAGAAGAGGAGGCTGCATTCCTGGCCTCCCTCTCACTGTCCTCGGTCTTGCATTTCAGAGTGGCCTGAGTGGGGGAGGGGGAGCACCTGGGCCTGGAGAGCACCCGCTTCACTTACCCACAGTCTTACTCAGAGAGCCTTGCAGACTCACAGGAAATGAATACCAACTCCCTATGGTACACCAGTGACCATTTCTTTCACAGAAAAGTAGAGAAAAGAAAACCCTTGAAAATAGCATTCAGTAACTGGACAGTCACATCCCCAGGGAGCTCTGGGGCTCTTCCACCTCAATGAGAGGTGCTCAGCACCACTCTTACCACTGTGGGGCTGGAGCCAGCTGAAAGGCCTCTCAACAGTGGGTTGTCAAATTGTCAGGAAACTTGTTAGCCTTTTTGAACTGATGGTAGCAAGCACTGGCCATGCGGAGTATTTGTACCATGGAAATCAATGAATGTGGCGACTCAGCGTCTATTTATTAACTTGTTAGGGGACTGGTTTCCTGGCACATTAAAGTTTATTGCCTGGCATGAATGTGATTCCCATTAATTCCTCCCTGTAACTATTGCCCTTTTCCTCTGCCTCCACTGTCTGCTGCTGAGATCCCCTGGACAATTTACCCCTTACTTGGTTTTCTTTTTCACTCTCTGGATTTTTTCTAATTCCACATTCAACAATCTTATGCATCAAAGATTGTTAGGAGCTTGTTCTCAGTGGATAGAGCAGTGCAAAGCATGTTTTGGTGTGGAAGATTCTAGGGATGAACTGTTGTAAGATGAGGAATTTTCTCCTCTGAAATTATAAATCTGTATACTCCAGATTTTCTGAATAGCGTGTTCTAAGATTCTTTGATAGTTCAGCTGCTTAGACCAGACAGACCCTTTCCATACCTTGTATGATAACAGCTCCTGACCTGTGTTGGGAGCCTCTGGAATATCAAGGAGTAAATTGCTTGGTATTGAGATGGCTCAGTAGGCAGGAGACTGTCTCTGTCTTCTGTTACTATATCAAAATCTTAGAGACTAAGTCAATTACAAATAACTCTTTCACCATGCTGGGACCTGGGAAGCCCACAAGCACGGTGCTGGCTGTGGCAAGGATGTCCAGATGCATGGAGACACAGCAAAAGGGTAAGCACAGGAGATGAAGAGAGGAATGGCTGCCCCATTGCAACCAACGTGCGTCTCAGGTGTATGAGGTCCTGGGACTTCACAAGATTGTTCTCGATCACAGGCAGCAAGAGACACTGGGATCTGCAGTCAGAGTGTTATAATTTACCCAGTGTTCTTCTACCTGGCTCAGGCTGTAATCTTTGTCCATTAAGTGGCGCCATCGTTGTAAGTGTTTATGACAGTACTATTTCCTAAAAACCAAGACTGGAGGGCAATGGGAGGAGTCAGAGTTAAGTCTGAGAGTATCTTGCATTTACTTCAGACAGCAAAGCTTTCCAAACATTCTCCTGTTCTAACAGCATTGTTCTTCATTGTTTATTAACTCATGAGTTACAAGGAATTATCTTATTCATTAACAAAGTAAATTAAAGGCCAGCCAGATAGCTCAGCAGATTAAAGCGCCTGCTTAGGCACACGCAAGGGCCAGGGTTTGATTCCCAGCCTGCTGTGCCGGCCTGGTCCCGCCCCAGGGTTGTGCTGAGACTGGGCATGGTGCCGTGCACCTTCCAGAGCTTGGGAGGCTGAAGAACAGCATCACTATGCGTCTGATTTGTGCAGTCTGTGTAGTGAGACCCTGTATTAAATACAAAAAAAGTAAATTAATTTTTTCAATTAAACTAAGTTTCACCAGTGAAAAATTGGCTATCGTTGATAGCTGGATGCATAAGGCATGCAATGTCACATACAGATATATTCTTTATCATGCTACCTACAGGCTATGCTCTATAAGCACAGGTGTGGGGAAGATTTTATGTAACATGACCCAATGTGAAGCACGAAGAACCATCCCAGTCGAGCTAAGAAAAGGATAAAGCATTTGTAATCAAAGGCCTTGTGACATTGTGAACTCTCTTAAGACAGAAGAATTTATTTTTGTTTTTAGGATCAGCCCTCTGCAGAGCAACAGTTTCCCTCTGGTGGTTGTACACATGTTCCCAGACTAGCTTCTGGACCATTCTGTTTCCCCTCCCCCGAAGCTGAGCGGCTGTGGCCAGGGTACGTGGGCTTTCCTGTGGGGGTGAGGCTTCAGAGGAAGCAAAATGGTATCCTTAGAAACTGGGGTCCCCAGGAGAGCTAGTAATCCTAAGTGTGACTGGCCTGAAAGAAAAGGAGCTATGGTGGGGAGAGAGGGAAAAAAAGAAAGAAAACATCAGGGAAAAAAAGATTTAAAAATTTAGAAAGGATAAAACTGAAGTAAAGTTTTGTAAATAGGGAGGGAAAGAGAAGTTGAAGGGAAGGGAGGGAATTGGGGGAAAAAGAGGTATAAAATATATCATGTACAAGTATAAATTCCCTATGATGGATACGGTCATTATTTATATCTAAACTGTATCAATTAACCTGATTAAAGGAAAAATATTCTTAAACAAAAAGGAATTAAGTGTGACTGGGACTGATAAAAATCCATCATTGGCAGAACCTGAATTTGAGAATCTTCCACTGAACTGCCCGGTGGCTAGGTCGTAAGAATAATCTACTCCAACGTCAGTCCATCAAAGGAGCTGTGCGGAGCAGGGATGTGAAAGTGAGGAAAAAAGCAGTCATGCTAACCACACTGAATAAAAAGCACAACTTCAGCAGGTTTCACAGGCTGTACGGGGCAGAACACATCATCCAGTGGCAGCCCGCGCTCATGCGGGGCGTTTGCATCATTGCGCCTTCCCCTCCCCCATGACCAGGACGAAGTGCTAACTCTTCCAACTGTTGCTTAAATATGTAAAAATGTTCCTAGTGAGCAGCAGCTGTGTCCCTAGTAACTGGTAATGATCGCAAACGTAAGGACATCTTGTTTTATGGCCAGAATGGTGAATCAGACCTACGTCATCAAAATCATTTTTTGGACAGCTTCCATTAGCTCGGATTTGAAGAGACTTTTGGCTCTGAAGCAGAACTTTCAGCTAGTCAGATTTAGTTGTATTTTTCTCATCTCCATCCAACCCAGTCCTCTGCCATTACATTCTGCACATGATTTCATTTCATCAAATTTTAACCCTCATCTCCTTTGCTTTCCTCTTTTATACCTCCCTAGGGCAACAACTTTCTGATGGGACACATTCCAGTTCAGCATCTGAGTAACAGTGCCTTATTTCTCTGTCTCTGTCTCTGTCTCTGTCCCTCTGTCCCCTCCACCAAGCATCTGTGATGACAAAGCTCAGGGAAGGGGTTTGAAAGGGAGATTCTGAAATCCTTGGGAAAGTCCACAAGGGAACAGAAAGGAACCTCACGGCACACTTCTGTGCTGATAGTGTCTAAGGATTAGTGAGTCACACGCCAGGCCTGCTGAGGTTAAGACGGAGGCCAAGGAAGGAAGCTGGCACAGATACAGGAATTCTCGGCTGCTGAGCCAGAACAACTGTAAAAAACTAGCTGTGAACTGTGCTTGACAGATTTTTCTTGACTGGCCTCTAGGTGAGAGGAGCTTGGATTCCCATTTAGCTCCTGCTATTGAGGGGATAAAATCTAAGACATTCCTTAAGAACAGGTACTATGTGGGACAGGGAGATAACTTAGCAGCATAAGCACCTGCCTGGAAAGTGAAAGGCCTTGAGTTCTATCCCTAGTATGTCAAAACAAATAAACAAACAAATAAATAAATAAGTAAAACAGGTACTGTGACTTGCAGGAGGGTCCCAGGCTGGGGAAGCCAACCTTGATAAATCTTCACTACAGGAGATGGAGGTGGCAATGATGAACTTCACAGAAGAGTGCTGAATGCTAGAGGACTTGTAGATTAAACAGTGCAAGAAGGGGAGGCATATGCTAAGCAGAGAGGAGGGCATCAGTAAATACTTGAAGTAGAAAAACTTGATGAACTAAAGCTGAGCGTGGGAGGGAGGTGGAGCCAGAGGAGGTCGGAAAGGTCAGGAAGGCCAAGAAAAGAACGGCTATCCTCAGGTCAGGAGGATATACTGTGTCTGAAAGACAGAATGGAAGACACAGAAGGGAAAGATATGGCACCAAGGCACATTGGAAAGTCTCCTGGAGAAGCCAGCGAATGCTGGAGAGATAGAACTCAGGCTGGGACTATTGAGGACTTTGTGGTGACTTGCACAGAGACAAGAGGACCCAACTTGCCACACCAGGGCCAAGAATGGGAGAAAACGTCACTAGAAAATTAATGGAAAATAGACAAGGTGAGGCCACCTGTTGGGATACATCTTAGATGCAAACACAAATAGGAATACTGACAGCAGAAGAAGAAGAAAGCGGAAGAGCTGGTGGATCCTGAGAAATGGTGACAGGAGAGGAGAGCGTGAAGTAAACAAGACCTGAAACTGCAGCCTGATTTATATCACACAACAACAGGGAAAACTGAGAAGATATAAACTGAGACTTAGTGACACCTCTAATCTCTGGATGGTGCGAAGACTGACTTCAGTTTCTGGGTATCAGGAGCCCTATGTGCTTAGAAAATAAACATTTGCTTTGCTCTCCTAGTGAGCAAATTGATATGCACCATGTCCCGTGGGAGCAGCCACTCATCACTACATCAAGTCTGTGCAGAGAGGAGCCAGGGCTCCCTCAAATAGCACCACACATTGGAGCAACTTCGAGGCCACTTCCTCAGTGCTCCTGGTACCCAGAAGCTGAAGTCAATCTCACAAAAAATCACCATGAGGGGTCAGGGATATAGCTCAGTGGCATAAACATCTACCTGGCAAGCACAAGGTCCCCAGTTCAATCCCCAGTACCGAAAAAAAAAAAAATCTCCATGAACGTAGAGAAGCTGGATAGATTGGGTATTACAGATGGAATTGCAAGCCCCTGAAGAGTCACACGCTGAAGGCTGAGCCCCCAGTACAATGCAGAAGGGCGCTGCATCTGGATTTGAAGTCTTTAAAGATTAAATAGCATTTGGTTGAAATGAAGCTGAGGGTGACCTAATCCAGTGTGCCAGGGTCCTCACAAGAAGAGCAGACACCAGCGGCGTCTGTGCTGAGCAAAGGCCCTGTGAGCACAGAGCCAGGATATAGTTCTTGGCAGACAGTGAGTGAGCCCTGGAGGAACCATGCCATCACACACTGCTCCTGGTCCAGAACTTCAGAGAAATGAAGGGTCTAACCCTAAATGGGGAATTTCAGTCACAGTGTCCTCCAAGAAAACTGACAGGGTCAGCTTCCCCATCCTGGGCATACACAGATGCATGGATGATTTGAGGTTCTCTTTCTTGGGAGAAAATCCTTTTTACTATTCCCTGTGCATGTGAAATATGGGCATATCCTAATCAAATCCATTGAGAGAAACATGATACCTTGGGATATCACTGTCAAAAATCTAATCACATAAAGAAGCATCAGGGCTGGGGAGCTAGCTCAGTAGAATAAGCACTTGCCTGGCAAGCACAAGGTTCTGAGTTCAATCCAGGGTACTGCAAAAACAAAAAAACAAAAAACAAAAAAGAAGTATCAGACAAACTTGGAGTGATGAATTACGGCAGAATAAAGGACACTCAGGAGACATGACAGAGGCAGTACATGGCTGTGAACCACACAGACTATGCTCACTCCTTGCTATCTAACCATCCACCTATCCATCCATTCATCCATTCATCCACCCACCCATCCATCCATCCATCCATCCATCCATCCATCCATCCATGCATCACCAATCCAACTGTCCTGCACTTCTGTCAGTGGGACCATTGGGGTAGTTGTCATAATTTGAATGAAGCCTGTAGATGAAATAATACCTTTGTGTAATCCTTACTTTTCCAGTTTTGTTAACTATACTCTGAGTTCATTTTATTTTTTAATTACTGGTATTATTGATTTTAGATATAGAGAATGATAACACATGTCATAAGGGCCTTGTACCTGTATGTGGCATATCTTGATTCTTTTTTTTCTTCAATTTCCTCTCCCAATTCTACTGCCCTTCCCCCTTGTTTCCTTCTATTCTTTTCTCTTTTCCTGTCTTTCTCTCTCCTTTTTCCCCTTCTATTTGAACATTTTATTCCTATTTCTCATATCTGTTATTAATTTTGTACCTTATTTTCTCTTTTGGTTTCTCATACCAGAAAAACAATGCAATATTTACACACGTGAGTCCCATTTATTTCACTTAAGAGTATGCTTTCACGGTGCATCTATTTACTTAAAAATGTATCAAATTTATCCTCCTTTATAGCAGAATGGTATTCCATTTTGTAAAAGACAGCATCTTCCTTATCCATTCACTGATCGATGAGAATTTGGGCTCTTTACAGGAGTTAGCTATTAGCAACTGTATCACTATAACTATGAGTGTGCATATATTGCTATGATATAATGATTTTAATTCTTCCAAGAAGGAAACAATTGGGTCAAATGAATCCTCTAGTTTCAGTTCTTTGATGAATCTCTACACTGATTTTCAAAGTGGTTGTACGAGTCTACACTCCCACCAATGGTGGAAAAGGGTTCCTTCTTCTCAGCAGCGCCACTGTCACTAGTTTATTTCTTGATGGTAGCCATTACTTCTGGGGTGAGATGGAATTTCTGTGCTGTTTTAATTTGCAACTCTCAAAAGGCCAGCCATGTTCAATATAAATGAAAAATTTTTTCATACATTTATTTGCCACTTCTGTTTAATCTGAGAAGTGTCTATTCATTTCACCTGTCTTAGCCAAAAGTCTAAGAATTTATGTGTTTGTTCATTTCAGATACCCATTTTTAGATTGGGTCTTTAAATTTGGGGAGGGGTTATTATGTATTTTTAATTTTTTTAAACAAGAGAATACAAAAAAGAGAATACAAAAATAGTTTAAAAATCAGAAATGATACAGAATTTAATTAAACAAAACTATAGGAATTCAACAATGGCAATTATAGTGCATATTATTGTCTTCAAATTAGTTGTTCAGATTATCAGAGATAAGCCTGTAAGATTGATTAGTCCTTTGTCTGGTAAAAGCTGGCAATTATTTTTTCTACTGTGGATTGTCTCTTTACTGTGTCGGTGGTTTGTCTTGCTGTGCAACACCTTTCTAATATATCTCAGTTATTGACTCTTTGTGATATTTCCTGTGCCATCAGGGTTTTACTCATAAAGTCTTTGCCTATATCAAGGTCTTCAAGAACTTCACTTATTCTATCTTTCAGCAGATTCAATGTTTCCATTTTCATATTTATTTATTTATTTATTTATTTATTTATTTATTTATTTATTGTGGAACCAGGGATTGAACTCAGGCCCTTGCGCTTGTCAGGGAAGCACTTATTCCTCTAAGCCATCTCTCCGGCCTCTGTTTTCATATTTAGATCTTTCATCTATTTTAATTTTAGGTTAGTGCGCGGTGAGAGATAAGGGTCTAGTTCTAATTTGTAGTATTCTGTATGTTAGTTTTTCTAGCAGCATTTATTAAAGAGGCCAACTTCCTTCTAGTGATGGTGTTTGGCCTTTTAGTCAAAGCTAAGGGGGCTTTGCTTGGAGCAGTTTCTGCATCTTCTAAACTGATCCATTGATCCTTGACTCCGTTTTGTTTTTTGTTTTTTTTTCTATTGCCATGTTTTTTATTTTACCACAGTAGCTTTGTAGTATAATTTCAAGTGGATTATAATTTCAAGGGGATTGTGATGCCCCCTGCTTTGCCTTTGTTGCCCAGAATTACTTTTGCTATTTTAGGTTTCTTCTGGTTCCAAATGAATTTTAGGATTGTTTCTTTAATTCTGTGTATACTCTGACTTTATAAGAGAATTTTTTTTTTCATTCTTAGGAAATTCTGGGAAATCCGGATGAAAATATTTTGGAATTTTCTATTCTCAAGCTTTTTTCTGTATGTTTAAAGATATTTCAAAATATGTGTTATTAGAATTAGGGATGTAATTTAAAAACAAAATTAGAGGTATTATACCTTTAACAAAATAGCCATTCTATGAAATCAGGTTGAAATAGATCTAAACTGAAAATTGACCAAGAGTCCAGAGAGGGTTTGTGTGTGTCAGGGCAGCAGGCCCACCTCAGGAGCAAAGGGCAGAGAGCGCTTTTGGTTTTCTGTCATTTCCAGTAAAGTGAAGGCCACACACCTTCAGTGTGGCAATAATATAAAAAGCCTCCCGGTGCTCCAGTCAGCGCAGGGTTGGTGTGCAGGGTTGTCAGGACCTGGAGCCCGTCCAGTGCAATCCTGACGTCCTGGCTGTTTCCCGGCAGTTTCCCGCTTTCTCTAGAACTCCAGGCAGGTAGGACCTTTTTTTAAAAAAAAAAAACAGTAGAATTTTCTTTTGGCTGTGATTTGCATCAAGTAAAGGTACTGAAAATGCTTTGCTATTTGATCATTAGGGACAACAATTCTCTATGTGCATGTTGAGCATGGACAAGGAGGCAAAATGACTCAAGTGCATCCTGGACACTCTGACATTTTGGGGAGGCTTCCCAACATAATAGGAATATTTAGAGTTATTTCTGTACAACTATAAATATTTTAACATTTTTTAGGCAAAATTTAAGAGATTCTTGTGAGCTTTAAACATTTGATCTTTTTCTGTTGTGAGGGAGAAAATAACTTTCTTTGACACTAACATTTATTTTTTCCCTTTGATTTCAAAAGAAATTCAAGCATTCATGGGCCTCGAAAATTAAAGTGCACTAGGCCTTTTACCGAATGTACCTAATGCATAGTCAGCCCTGATATGCATTGTTTTGAACTGTTTAGTCTGTATCTCTACATCTTTAAAGAAAACAGAGTAAATGAATAGATGTAGGTATCTGGTTAGTAAAATTACATGCATATATTCACTGTCTCCAAGTGCTAGCCAAATTTACAGCCCTCTTCTACCATGACACATGCTTATATTCACTATGAGGAACATGTTCTACTGAAGTAATCGTTGTGTAATAACGTTGAAGCAGACATCCTGTGTGATTCCCTTGGCATCTGTTGAGGGAGGCCCAAGCAGAGATCATTTCCTATCTGCTTTGAAGGCCCCCGGGACCCCAAACCATCCCAAAAGCTTTGGTTATCAGGATATTTTTCTGTGCCTGAGGAGTTTCCATACTTGGTGTTTTTCCCCCTTTGTTGGCATTAAAATTTTGCTTTTTTAAAATATAGGACCTCTCTGTAAAGTAGTCAATGCTTTTATTGATTCTTTCTGAAAATGATCTATGTCTTGAGTAAGTAATATTTTATATTATCCCAGATCATACTGTATAAACGAGTAGAAGAAAAATGCCCTCTGAAAATTCAATGTAAAGTTTAAAAATCATAAATATTAATCTTTCGGCAAAAATTATTCAAAACAATGAATGATAAAGGCAAGACATGTGATAGCTTAACACTGAGTCTTCTATTTTCAGTCATCAGTTTCTCCAAATTAAGAAGTTCTCTACAGTTATCAAAACTATCATATTAAACTTAAAAAGTATTTAGCAGAGCTGTGCCTTTCAGCAGAATCAGTCTGTTTCATTGTTCTTGCTGCTTCCATTGGGCCAAGAATGAGCACAACACCGTACACCCTGCCAGCACCAAAAGACACATTCTACCACACCTTCTTGTGCCAAGTCTGTCAAAGAACTGAGAGATACTCAGAGGAAACCACACTAGAAATACCAAGATGTCATGTACACACTTTTGAAAGTGCCTTGTTACTTTGCTTCTCCAGATGCATACTGCCTGCATGCTGGTTGTAGAAAGAAAAGACCCATAAGAAAACAGCATCTAAGAACTTAACATGACACTGACATCTCTAGACTTTTAGCCGCGGGCCACCCCTGCTCCTGAGGTCCACAGCAGTGCTTTCATGCACTTGCCTTATGCAGATGATGAGGCACACTCCAGGGGGCTGCATGGACTGACATTCTGCAGAGGTGGGCAACCAGAATGTCAGGAGAAAGTTGCTAATGTGGTAATGGAATTTGAGCCGGGAATCAGGTGAGTGGAGTAGCTCTAGGAGGCGCCGGCCAACCCCACACCTAGACTCAGGGGCCCTGTACGTCTTCTCACCAAATATTTGCGTCCAGTGGCAATTCTACAGACATTTCTACCACCGAGTAGTTTTGTGAGGACTGGCAAAGTTGTTTTAAGTTTTTAAGTAGTCATACAAATATTATTTTCAAATTTATATAATTACAAAATTATATAAAGGATATGATTATAGTCATACAAATATTATTTTCAAATTTATATAATTACAAAATTATATAAAGGATATGATTAAAATGATATAACACATACGTGAATTTGTATATAATCAAAATTATGTAACATATTCATTGCACAATATAGTTTTTATAGACAGTGATTAACTGCTACCATAGGCAAATTAGAAAAACCTGAAGAAAAACATTTTATTTGTCTAAATTTTTATTTTATTTTTAAAAGTTTATTGCTTATATGCTTTAACTTTTGTTTTTGTTTGTTTGACTGTTTGCTTTTATCTTTTTGAGACAGGGGCTCACAATGCAGTTCAGGCTGGGCTTGAGTTCACTTTGTAGCCCAGGCTGGCGTCAAATTCACAATGCCCCTCTTTCCTCAGCCTCTTGAATGCTTGCCTTACAGGAGTGCACCACATGCCCAGCGCAAAACACATTTTAATCACCTGGTGTAAGATTTAGATTAGTGTTAAACACTCAGTGATGTTATGCAGGTAGCATCGAGCGCTGCTCTGTCTTTTCTCTGCTGGTACATGGCTCATTCTGACTTTTATTTCTCATCTAAAGCCTGAACCCCTGTATTTTTGTGCTAGAGGTATTGTAATTGTTTCATTATATTTGAAAAGCAAAATAGCAAGGACTACCAATAATGCACTCAAAATCACTGTTTGTTAGTAATGCTTATTTACTATGTAGCATATCACTATGTCATTTAAATGAACACTTTCATAAATTTAATCACTGCTACTTTAATAAAGTTGCCTCTAAAGACAGATTCTTTTCTCCCTACTGTTTTGGTGGTTTGGAAATAAATGTCTGCTTTATCCTTCCTTCCTTCCTTCCTTCCTTCCTTCCTTCCTTCCTTCCTTTCTTTTAAGTTTAGACTTTTCCTAAAAAGTTATTTTATTAATCAAATTTTGGCTTATGAAATTCAAACTCTTCTATGGAAACTTTTATGTTAAGAACACAGAACTGCTTAAGAGTGAATTTATAGACCAAAAAGCACCCTGAAGCTAAAATGAAGGTCCTCAATTTCTTGGCGCGCAGAGTGTATGAGCAGGAACTCCTGCTGCCCTTGTCAACCTTGTGACGTTTACCTGCAGAGGAACCAAAGAGAAAGGCCAAGCAGAAGCACAGGCAAAAGATAAAGGCAGAGTCTAACTGGGATGCTTAGTTCTAGGTCAAAGCTGCTCCATTTCCCTACAGGACACCTGCCCAGGTGTGATGTAGACACCATAAGGCTCAGGCTGGCCAAGGGGGAGATTTCCTGATGATCTTGGGTCCACAGGACTTGGGTCCCTATTGCTTTCTGCTGCTGTTTATTTTCACAGCTATACTTAACCCAGGCACCAACATGACCACGTGGTGGCAGCAGCTGATAAACAGGCTGCAAAGAGATTGCCTCTATTCTTTAGCTCTGAGTCCTCTTCATTCTAAAAAAGCAAACCGTGAAGCCTGCTCTGGGCAAGTTGTCCTCTAGGGAGAGGTCTTACTGCTACCTTTACTCTCTCAGATGAGACATGAGCCTAAGCAAACTGAGTGGTAGGATTAAGAGGCCTCTGAATTAGTAACCATGTCTAACAACAAAAAAACCAGCTCTCTTCATGAATGCTGTTCACATCCAAAAGTTAAGGAACTTTCCCATAGGTTGTAAGAGTGGATATTATCATATTATAAGGAAATACAATACACAATTATGGGCTGGAAACAAATCAATAGATCTTTTCTCTTAAGTGGAGCAAGATGGGCTTCTGAAATAACTTGAAGAATTACAGTATTATTGAAAAATATTTTTGACTCCTTCAAAAAACTCTTAAAAGGTGAGGAAAACTAGAGCTATGGAATGAGTGAAGGCAGGTTTGAAAAGAGATAAATGGACTATCAGAGTGGGGCAATCCCAAATCCATCAAATGCTCACCATTAGCTTTTCTTTCCCTTCCTCCTGGAGGTAAGAATAAACAATACAAATGTTCAAGACCTACTTAAAGAAGGAATCTAGAAGTAGGACCTTCCCTCACAAAAGCTATGACAAAAATGTTTTGCCCTTAGCCTGAGTAATCTAGTAATTTCATGCCCTGCAAGGAAATTATCTTCCTTGAATATTGCCAGGCAGAAGACAAAAATCCAAATTTTCTTCAGGTTTTGTAATTTTTAGTTTTTGAAGAAAATAAGAGACCAGGGAGATAGCTCAGGAGAATAAGCACTTGCCTGGCAAGAACAAGGGCCTGAGTTCAATCCCCGGTTCTACAATAAATAGATAAATAAATAAAAAGAAAGAAAAGAAAAAATAGTTTTAAAAAACCCATGAGAAACAGTACTGTATTACACTAAAAAAAATGAGAGGAATTAAAAACTAGTTGTTATATTGCGTATTGTTGTCTTCAAATTTGTTGCTCAGATTACCAGATATAAGCATATAAAATTAGTCAAAATGATAAAAAAATTAAAAAGGAGAGAGAAAAAATTAAGCATTGACTGCTCCTTTCAATAGACTAGTAGAGGACTTCTATCTAGAACATATAAAGAATTAAAAATATTCAGGCCCCCAAAATTCAAAGACCCAGTCTAAAAATGGGTATCTGAGATGAATACACACTTCTCAGATAAAGAAATATGAATGGCAAATAAATAAATGAAAAGTGCTCAGCATCACTAGTCATTTGAAAAATGAAAATTAAAACAACACCAAAACTCCATCTTATCCCAGAAAGAATGGCTATCGTTAAGAAATAAACCAAGGAGGGCTAGCCAAATAACTCAGTTGATTAAAGGGCCTGCCAGGAGTTCAACTTTGGGTGTGCCTTGCCGGCCCCACCCCTGGGGCACTATGAGATGGCAATTGAGACTGGGTGTGGTGGTGCATGCCTGTAATCCCAGACTTGGGAGGCTGTAAACAGACAGATCGCTACAAGTACAATCTAGTACTGAGACCTTAACACCCTGTAGACCCTTCTTAAAATACTAAATAAATAAATAAATAAATTAATTAATTAAAAAAGAAATCAATCAATAACAAATGCTGGAGGGACAGTGGAAAAAAAGGAACCCTTTTCCATTGTTGGTGGGAGTGCAGACTAGTACAGTCACTGTAGAAATCAGTGTGGAAATTCCTTAAAAAACTAGAAGTAGAGGTTCCATTCAACCCAGCTATTTTCTTTCTGGGTATTTTTTCAGAAGAACTGAAAACAACATACCACAGTGATTTATGTGCACCCATGTTTATAGCGGTACAATTTGTGGTAGCTAAATCTCAGAGACAACTGAAATACCCATCAACTGAAGAATGGATAAAAAAGATGGATTATTTTTATACAATGGAGTATTACTCAGTTACAAAAAAAGATAAACTTAAGGTTTTTATAGGTAAATGGATGCAACTAGAGACCATACTCATAAATGAAATAAATCAAATCCATATGTGTAAACATATTGTCTCCCTAGTGTAAGAATCTAAAAGAATACATAAAATCTGAAAGATATAAAAGATATTGTTAAAGAGAAATAAATCGTTCAAAGATGAGGAACAACTTGAATGAGGGAAAAGAGAAAAGAAAGCGAAAAAGAAATATATATGGATTTACAGGGGATAGCTTAGATATCTGTACTGCTGATTTGTGCCAGGTTTTTCCTCAGTTTTCAGTCACTCATCTACCACATGGTTTTGCAGCCTGAGTCCATGTAATTACCAACTCCCAGCAGGAACAAAGTCTCCTTAAGCCAAGAGAGTAGTGTGGTTGGGCTCTGGGCGGGTAGGTGGCAGCTGAGGCCTCAGATCCAAGCTGAAATCCTATAAAGTACATACTCTTTCAGGTTCAGTCATAGCCAATAACAAGCTTTGCTTGGAGGGAGTGATGGAGGAAGCTGCTCCCCCCATGCCAGAGTTGGGGTACAGATAGGACGTTGTTATTTTTCCAATGCAGTTTCTTCCAAGATCTAGTCACCCTTTGCACCCCAACATCCCCACCTTTGCTGCAAACAAATCTACATTCCCAGCCCAAGCAGCTTCATTTGGGGGATTTGTTTTTCCATTTTGACTTTGACTTTTCCCTTCTGACCCTACTTATTGTTCTTCCTCCAGCACTGGAGAGGTCGTGTCCTTTCCAACTCATCTCTTATAAGCGGTGTGCACTATCAGAATTGACAAACACAATTTCCAGAATAAAAGTCCCATGTGAAGTTTCATTATGACTAAATGCAATTTTTCAAAACAGTGTTAGAAAACTGAGAATTAGTAATTTAAAAAGCATTAGAAGGGATGCACCATTGATTCAATATTTGAAATTCTTTGCAGTTAATTCACCACATTGAAATAGTCCTAAAAAAGTAAGAATATATTGAACATAATTTAATTACCAAAATTAATTTTGCTTTATTATACACTTTTAAAATATTTCTAGTTGGGCTGGCGAGATAGCTCAGTGGTCTAAGAGCCTGACTTGCAAGCACAAAGACCTGGCTTCAATCTCCAGTACAGCATGAGGCTGAGACAGGAGGATCACTATGAGTCCAAGCTGGATAGAAAGAGCCTGTATAAATAAATAAATAAATAAATGACATTCAATTGTTTCAGGGAAGCTTGAGTTAAAACATTTGCGTATGTTTTGCCCTGTAATGATGAAGCATTTACAATAGTGCAAAATTGGTTTCAAAGATAAGTTTCAATTACATCACACTTCAGATTTTTGAATTAAAAATAAAATAAATGAAATTCCTAAAGATTTGACTTTTTAATTTGTATACTATCATTGCATAAACTTATTTTAGCAGCTATAGTTTCCA